TTTTTTTTTTTTTTTTTTTTTTTTTTTTTTTTTTTTTTTTAAAGACTCATCATCCCAAGAGGTTCAAATGTGCCAAGGTAAAGATTTTTTAGTGTGCATTTATTGACAATAACGCATGCCAAACATTCTGAGGGACTCTGTCATGAAATCCCTGTCCATATACAGCAGAAGATATAGTACAATACATTTTAAGTGTTCAGTAAAATAAAAAAGGGCAAAACACCTCTTTGCATCCCTATGAAATAGCCCATTATATTTTACTTAGGTTCCACAGCCCCATATTAGTATTGTGTACATGTCTATGACAGCTAGGACTTAAGTTTCAAAAACCCTCCAACAATTTTCTCTTTTTTGTATTACTAAACTTTTTTATGAACGCGTCAACAGATTTAAAACTTAAAGTGGTTGACTGTTTAATTTAAATATTCCATTATTAGCACATTGTTCACGATTTTTTTTAGCCACTATGTGCATCTTAGTATCATCCTATAGAAGACTGTAGATTTTTGAGCAGTGGGTAATATTTGTGTTGTTAAGTAAATGTAACACTTCAGAGTGACCTAGCTTTCTAGGTTACATTTTATTTTAAAAAGGTTTCTTTCTTAAAATTCATATTTTGTAGGGCTGTCGATTAATTTCAGTTAATTCACGCGAGTAATTCAAAAAAATTAATCGCGATTAAAAAAATTAATCATGATTAATTGCACTGTTATACGATAGAATACCAATTGAAATTTATTAAATATTTTTTGATGTTTTCTACATTTTCAAATATATTGATTTCTGTTACAACACAGAATACAAAGTGTACAGTGCTCACTTTATATTATTATTTTTGATTACAAATATTTGCACTGTAAAAACGATAAAAGAAATTGTATTTTTCAAGTCACCTCATACAAGCACTGTAGTGCAATCTCTTTATCGTGAAAGCGTAACTTACAGATGTTGATTATTTTTGTTACATAACTGCACTCAGAAACAAAACAACATAAAACTTTAGAGCCTATTAGTCCACTCAGTCCTACTTCTTGTTCAGCCGATCGCTAAGATAAACAAGTTTGTTTACATTTATGGGATATACTGGTGCCTGCTTCTTATTTACAGTCTCACCTGAAAGTGAGAACAGGCGTTCATAGGGTACTTTTGTAGCTGGTGTTGCAAGGTATTTACGTCCCAGATATGCTAAACATTCGTATGCCTCTTCATGTATCGGCCACCATTCCAGAGGACATGCTTCCATGCTGATGATGCTCATTAAAAAAATAATGCATTAATTAAATTTGTGACTGAACTCCTAAGGGCACGATTGTATGTCTCCTGTTCTGTTCTACCTGCATTCTGCCATATATTTCATGTTATAGCAGTCTTGGATGATGACCCAGCACATGTTTGTTTTAAGAACACTTTCACATCTGACAAAACGCAAAGAAGGTACCAATGTGAGATTTCTAAAGATAGCTACAGCACCCGACCCAAGGTTTAAGAATCTGAAGTGCTGTCCAAAATCTGAGAGGGACGAGGTGTGGAGCATGCTTTCAAAAGTCTTAAAAGAGCAACACTCAGATATGGAAACTACAGAACCCGAACCACCAAAAAACAAAATCAACCTTCTGCTGGTGGCATCTGATGAAAATGAGTATGCGTCGGTCTGTTCTGCTTTGGATCATTATCAAGCAGAACACATCATCAGCATGGACTCATGTCCTCTGGCATAGGTGCTGACTCCGTGGGTGCTCCGAGCCTGGAGCACCCATGGGGAAAAATTGGTGGGTGCTCAGCACCCACCAGCAGCTCCCCGCCCGCCCAGCTCACCTCTGCCTCCGCTCCGCCCCTGAGCATGCCGCGTGCCCGCTTCTTCCCCCTAACTCCTAGTGCTTGCACCGCGAAACAGCTGTTTATGCGGCTGGGAGGGAGCGGGGAGGAGGGGGAAATGCAGCACGATCGGGGAAGAGGCAGGGCTGGGGCGGGGATTTGGGGAAGGGGTTCAATGGGGCAGGGAGAGGGCGGAGTTGGGGCAGGGACCTTGGGGAAGGGGTTGGAATGGGGTGGGGCAGGGAAAGGGTGGAGTTGGGGCGGGGCCGTGGGTGTGAGCACCCACCCGCGCCGGAGAAAGTTGGTGCCTATGTCCTCTAGAATGGTGGTTGAAGCAGGAAGGCACATCTTAATCTTTAACACATGTGGCACATAAACGTTTTGTGACGCCAGCTACAACAGTGCCATGCTAACGCCTGTTCTCACTTTCAGGTGACATTGTAAACAAGAAGCGGGCAGCATTGTCTCCTGCAAATTGTAACCAAACTTGTTTGTCTGAAGTAGGACTCAGAGGACTTGTAGGCTCTAAAGTTATACATTGTTTTATTTTTGAATGCAGTTTTTTGTACATAATTCTACATTTGTAAGTTCAACTTTCATAATAAAGACATTGCAGTACAGTACTTGTATTAGGTGAATTGAAAAATATTATTTCTTTTGTTTTTTACAGTGTGAAAATTTGTAATCAAAAATAGATATAAAGTGAGCACTGTACACTTTATATTCTGTATTGTAATTGAAATCAATATATTTGAAAATGTAGAAAACATCAAAAAATATTTAAATAAATGTTATTCTATTATTGTTTAACAGCACAATTAATCACAATATTTTTTTAATTGCTTGACAGCCTTAATATTTTGTTTATAGATTAATATAATTATCCAAAATTTGTTTTCAAGCAATGCATTTAAATATTTAAAAATAATGTGATTTACCAGCTAAACTTAACTCTTTTCAAACAGAAAGTAATAAAGGGTGTATAACAGCTAGATTGTGAAAATCCAATGTTGCTGGGCACATTTCCAGTTATAAATCAAAGCCAAAACAAGGGGAATTTTGAAGAGGAAAGGAAAGAATGTATAGGTCAAAGTGGAAAAAAGTCCCAGTCATGAGAAAATATTTCTAGTTAACCTAAAACAGTTTTCATATTTAAATGATAATGAGGCTAAAACTAGAAAGCATAAAAGATTCTTTATTCAAGAAAAAAGAATAGACTATTTCTCTTATTTCTTTCAGTATTTAGGAGTGAGATAAATATTGACTTTTATGTGGGTGCTGTGTTAAGGAGGGGGAATGGCAAGGAGTATAAAATGTTGACTATAAAGTTTTACTCGTGAATACTGAATTATTGATAAATTCCAATCACAGCACAGACATTTAATTTCTTAAGGGAAAAGCATAATATATGAACAAAGAGAAAAGCATACTTGCTAAATAATTTTAATTAACATTAATTTCCCTTTTATTAAAAGTCCAGAAGTCAGCATGATAAAATACTATTTCTGATAATGAGTCAAATTATTCTGACAATGACCTAGATTATCATCCCCAGGGAGTATTAAGAAAATAGAGGAATTAAGGGAGTATAATGCACGTCTCTCTTCTCTTGTTTATCTCCTTTTCATTCCCCTCAGACACTTTGTATCCACTCCCAATTACTATCAAACCACTTTTTGACAGCTCTGACCATGATAATTGGGGATTGGCACACTCTGGAACTAACTCAGTCCTTCTGGTAAAAGATGTTAGAGCAAGATGACTGGGAGCTTAGTTTCAAAGACTGAGTCACTTCCCCAGCGCACACAGCATTCCAGACGCTGTGATTGAAAAAAGAATCTGATTTTGTATCTATAAGCTAGCAACAAGACAATCTGTTTAAGCATCCTTGAGTTTGTATAGCTATTCATTTTAGTCTCACAAGCAAGCACAAACCTATATCCAATAACTCAGTGGGACTCCAAGAGCATTTCCTTGGCATACGGTGCATGAACAAAAGATATCAGACAATACCACCACAGCACTTTGTTTTATTGTTAGTAGGTACTGGGGCTTTCATAACTTTGTGCAAACAGAAATAGCACAAATGTGTATTGTTAAAACGGCACTAACACCACCACACTATAAAAATCTAGATTTTCAGAAGTCAGATTTTTATTATCAAAACTGACACATTTTAAGATTAAGATGACCAATCTGAAGTATCATTTCCATGAAACAAATAAAATACATCTGGGTCTAAGGAGCTCAAATATAAATCTGTCATTTGGCAGGATCCAGTAGATTCTTGACTTTGCTTGTGCTCTGAGAGAGAGAGAGATTGTTATTCATATTAAATAGCCCTGTCAACATGTGTTAAGAATTATACAACCAATGGATCTTAACACAGGAAGAAAACTACTTTCTGAAATACTCCTCTTGGATGTGGCATAAAGAGTTACATGGAAATATATAATCTCAGTGCAAAACTTTACACAGGGAAAACAAACAAATCTTTAAACCAGAAGCATTCCAAAGCTGTTCTTACCTTAAAATTGTGTGCTTTTTCATAGTTGAAATGGTTGTCGTTTTGAGTTAAAGCTGCTCTTCTGACCAAAGAGGTGATCTGTGAATAGGCAAAGAGTTTCAGAGGTTGCCATAATAGTGCCCCCTTTACTCCCGCCTTAACCCCTAATGCCACTGCCAGCAGCTCTTGACGTTTCCTTCCTCGCTTAGACTTGTGAACAACAGCACAATTTTTCTCATTTTCAAGCCACAGATCCTCAGAGAACATAATGCTTGGATCCCAGATCTTTTCCCTGTCTTCCTCTGAAGCTGGGAGGCTTACTGTACTCAGGTTTGCCCAACTGCTTCTAATGTTAGACAGCAGATTTGAAGCAGCTGCAGCCCATTCTGCGGAGACCTCTGGCATGTGACTTGAATGGGCCGTCTTGTGTGATGGAAGGAGCTTCTGCATCTGAATAAGTAACGGCCTGTTTTGTGCTATTTCTTAAGGCAGACGTGTGCCTGAAACAATAGTCGGAATTCATGTACTGAACAAAACTCCCCCTCCCCCCCCCAGCAATGGTATCCAGCGAGAGACTGAAGAAATACAGGCCGGGAGACAGCTTTACGGCCTCATGCCACAACAAATTTCAAAGGAAAGATCACATCTAGTTGGTAGCATGTTTAAAAAAAAAAAATGGCTCTGATGCTGCATCCAATTACACTCAGACCTGGAGACTTATGAGCCATTCTGGTCTGAACACCAATGGATTAAACCCTTTAAACCCTGATGATTGTTTAATCTTGCAGGGCTAAAATCTCTTTTTTCATATCCTGTGCAAGTGAAAAACCTAGTAGCACTCCAAAGATTAATAGCATTTCTGTGGCATGCATTCTGTTGGGGTCCACTTAGCAGTGAGCAATTAGATCACATTCAGTAAAAATTGGAAACTAAGTCCCCAGCCATTCAATCTGATCACAAGGGGAGACCTTTAGCCTGTGCAGAAGCTCATGGAAGACAACGGAGCTCTGCAGAGATGCAAGGGGTGCATCCTGCACAGATCGGATGGCAGATCTGGGGCCTAAGTGGCACTAGTCCAGCTGTTCCCCCACTTTAGTTTCTGTAGTATATATGTTTGGGAGAAAGGATAACATGTGGTTAAAGCCCAGTATAGGGAATCTAATCCCATCTCTGCCACAGCCTTCTGAATGACCTTGGGCAGGTCACAATCTTTTCATTTCTGTTTCTCTATCAGTACAATGAGGATAATAGTTACCCACCTCACAGGGATATTGTGAGGCTTCATTCTCTAGTGTCTGTAACGTGCTTGACATGCTCAGAGGGAAGGTACTACAGGGGTGGACAATATTACCAGGAGAGTTGCTTCTGAAACTGACCAGTAATAGCCAGGGCCGGATTAACATTTTGCGGGTCTGGCGCCAAACATATTAGTGGGCCCCATGCGGGCAGTGGACCATGGCGCGGGGGGGGGGGGTGGTCAGTCCCCAGAGCAAGGGGCCAGCCAGGGGCAACGGGGCATAGCAGGGGCGGCCCCGCTCCGCCCAGCCCAGTGCGAGGGCACTATTTACAAACCGGCAGTTGCCAGATGCACAATGGCCTGCCTGGCCTTTTGCTGCCAACGTGACTCTTCCCCTCGGGGGGCGGGCCCCTGCTGTGCCACACAGCCCCCCCGCCCAACTCCCCCATACTCCCTATGGCCAGAGCTGCCCTGGACCCGCTATGCCCAGCGCCCCCCCCAACCCCCTCCACACAAATGCACAGCGCCCTGCACAACACCACCCCTGCCCAGCGCCTCCCCTGCCCACAGCCCCATCACAACTGCCCAGCACCCCCCACAGAACCCCCACTGCCTAGGGCCCCAGCACACAGATCTCCCCCCCGCCCCCAGCCCAGCACCCCCCCTCCCAAGCCGCCAAGAGACCCACTCCCCCTGGCCCTGCCTCCTGGCCGCACTCACTGGCCCTGCTGGGAGGTGACTGTGTCTGCAAGGCTGAGCCGGCAGCACAGCCGGGGCTGGTCACAGGGCCAGGATTAGCTCCGATCCCTTGGGAGTGGTGTGATCAGCCAGGCCAGGGCCTGCCCCGGCCGGGCTCCCTCAAGACACACTTGAGGCCCAGCCAAACTCCCCCCACTGTCCCCTTTCTCCCCCCCGCCCCTGGCTGAGTCGCCCTGCCACCCTTTGTTTCTGCCTTTATGCCCATTCTTTTCCACACTTGAACCCAAAGACAATAGCAAATTAAATGATCCAAACAGACTTACTTTTGTTAATTTGTGAAGTCGTTTCTTCCTTTGGCTCTACCCACACTCCAATCCCTTAGACATCCTAGGGGGTTCATCTAATTTACTGAGTTAAAACAATACCACTACATAGTTTACATGCTTTCAGTAAAAATTATGCTCTCCTGATATGAAAGCCCGCAGGGACAGATGGCCAACCATCAGTAAGATCAGACTGTGTAATTTCATATAGTGCCCTACTTAGGGCATTTAACAAGTTCTGTAACCTGCAAAATCAGCTTTTCAAACGTGACATGACGTAGTTGTTTCTATCCTGAATGTACTTCTCTTCCCTTTCTTTTCCACGTAATTGGCAGCATAACTCTCTCTCTCCTATCTGATTTAGAAGCCTTGGTAGTTAGTTATTGTTTCCACTGAGGCTCCTCTTGCTAAATAAGCAGTTGCCACTCACCCTCTTTTCCAACTGAAAGCACAACTGAGTGGCACTGTTAACTGATCAGCAGGCAGTTCTAAACATGCTGCATTGATATTGCTCAGCCCAGAGGTGTTGTCTGGTGCTATTCTGTGCATCCTTCAATTAATATATCCTGTTCACTGCCAGATCAGAAATCAGAGCTTTGAACCCAAAAAAATCTTCTCCAGTGGATCAGCTCTTAATCAGACATTAGGGGCTTAGATCCAGAGGAATGTTATACCTGTCCCAAATATCTTCAGCATCTACTTCAGGGAATCACGTTAACACTCGTTTAAGACCTGTTCTTGCTCCCATTCAATGAGGATAACAGTGATCTCCTCAGAGGGATAGATTTCAATGGGAGCAGGATAAGGCCCTTAGGAAAGAAAGCTTAGGGCATCAACACATCACTTTAAGGCTTTTGTCCTAAACATTCAGCATGTTATATTTCAGTACTTCAGCTTCAAATGAGTTCAAATTTATCTGTTACATTGACAGAGAAAATCATAATCCAGTAACTAACTTTGGAAATTTTTTTTAACACACTTACGTAGCTATGAACCCTCAACGTAAACATTAAATAGTTCCTCTCTGATATCCAGCGTGACTGAATCAAGGTCAGAGAGGTCAGCTTCCTCATAATGCTTTAGCATTTGCATTGATGCCACTGCACTGATAAAAATCCCATTATATAAGCTATATTTTTACATAACATTGTGGATGTGACACTCAAACAACAGGATTATGATGATATAGTGTACATCTTAAAATATCTACATATTAGAATACATTACTTTTAAAATATTACATGTCATCTTAAGGACAGACATAGTACCTAATGGAAATACGGGCGTTTCTCATAGGATTGTTTAAACTAATTAATTTAAAGAAGGAGAACCAAGCTAATCCAGTTCATATGTATGTCTAGGGCAGATCAGTATTTGTTGTTTATTGTATTTGAAATCGTATTCATCCACTAGGTTGCTTTATCACCATGCTGATGCCTTTGTCAGGTATTTGTTTAATAGGATTCACTACAAACACAGGATGTATAACAGGCAGGTGCACAGTAAATGCATTCTCTTAACAGGCTTGATCATATGAAGCCACACTAGATTCAATGTCTAACAAAGGATGCTGAAAACTGATCTGATTCAGGGCACAATACTATAGGACACAAATTTTCCACTCCCCCTTACTTAAAGGACAAATAGCAGCAAAATCAAACAAGTTGAACTGTTCTCAAAGTAATGAACCTTGATGCTCCGTTCCTTCCCCATGCCCCAATGCAGTCCAAGAGTTCAAAAGCAATTCATTTTATTCATTTCCCCCTCCCCCTTTCTTTTAAAAGATCTATTGTACAGGACATTGTGTCAACTAACTTAAAGAACATTTCTTGCTAAGGCTGACGTACCTCTGGCTAACATGGAGGCTCCTGATGGCTGAAAATATGTTGCTAGTTTTAACAAAATATTTACATTGATAACAATCGAAAACCAAATGTAAGATGTAGAGAGGATCAGGGGATCTCCATGGAATGTAGGATTTTAGCTGCTTAGTCGCTCAGTAAGCCATGTGCATTGTACAGTAAGTTGGGCATTTACAGTACAGTAAATATCACTAAACCAGAATTAGATAGTAAGGGAAGGGAAAGTGTTGTTTAGCTGTGGCAGCATTTTCAACATGCCTTTTTAGAATGAGATTATTGAATGATTTGAACTGAAACCTCCACAAAACATGACTAACTTTGTTTGCTAACAAAAGGACTTGGGGGCTAGGAAAGAATAAATATTTATAGAAAAATCTTCAGTTTTTGTTGTTGTTGTTGTTGTTGCATCAATTCAATTTTAGCTGTGTGGGGAGCTCTCAAGAGTTGCTGAAAGTAAAGGCCAGGCTGTGGCTCATCCTGCATGCCTGTGCAGGGGAATAAAGGAGCAAAAAATGCTTTGCTAGCCCCCTGCACTAGATAGCCATACTGTGGGTAGATGCATGGGAGGGAGAACAGCCCCCATGGGTCTGCTGCATCTCCTTCTACAGCCCCCATGCAAGTGTATGGGATGGGCAGGCGGGGTGGGTAAGTGGGGGAGCCCTGGCTCCACCTGGTCATCTGTCGAGGGGCATACTTTGGTTCAGCTATAAGGCCGATGCAGGCCTTGGAGGAGGAGATGAACCAGAAGGCAAATCATGCCTCTCTGAGTCACAATCTGTTTTTCTGGGCCGCTCCTGGGGCGGTGCAACCACTTCTTGCTCCATGCCCAGGTGTTGTGGCAAATCCACAACTGAGCCCTTAATAAACAAAGTGCTGCCTGTTTCCTCGCTGGTGTGATATGCTCTACAGTATGCAGGATGGTACATTCTTGCCTGAGTCAAAAAGACAATGTGGAGATGACACACAGTGTGTTAATCT